ATTTATACGTATTGGAAGTGGGAACCCTAAACTAGAAAAGTCAGAAGTACGATCAGATTTGGAGAAGAGAATTTCAACCAGACATATCACTGCTTCAGTACCTGTATATCTCTCCTGCAAACCCAAGATATAAAACGAATCCAAATCAGAGTCCAAGAAGCAACCTGATTTCAAGTCATCCATTCGCGCAGACAAGTTCCACCTTTGCTGTCCCCTGACTTCCCACAAACAGCACTTGGAGATCGCAATTGTGCATATCATTTTCCAATTGCCGCCATGAAGTTCGCCCTCGTCCTCGCCACCATCGCCGCCGCCGTCCTGGCCCAAGACGCCTCCCCCGACAACAACTTTATCGAGATCGTCGGAGGCACGGAGGCCGCTGTGGGCCAGCACCGGTACTTGGCGGGCCTCAAGGCGTCTGCCACCGGTACGTCTAGCTGCGGGGGCAGTCTGATCGCGCCCAACGTGATTCTCACGGCGGCGCATTGCACGGGCCACAAGCTGTCGTACGTAGTGGTGGGCTCGCACTATTTGTCGGGATCGTCCGACGGCGTGCCCGCCAAGGTGGTCAAGGAGATCAAGCACCCCCTCAACAACCCCAAGACCTACGCCAACGACGTGGCCATCCTCGTCCTGGACCGCAACATCACGACCATCGCCCCCGTCCGGGTGTCGTTCGAGACGGTTCCGGCTAACGTCCTGACGTGGGTGCGCGGGTGGGGCACCACGTCGTCCGGGGGCGCGCAATCCAGCGTGCTCAAAGAGGTCAGCGTCAAGTCCTGGGACAACGCCAAGGCCTCGATCGCCCTCGCGCCCAACAAGGTGGACGCCACCATGCTGGCTGCCGGGGGACTCAAGGGTGAAGACTCGTGCCAGGGCGACTCGGGGGGACCGCTGACCATCGAAGACGCCGCGGGCGAGCGCCTCGTGGGTGTCGTGAGCTGGGGCATTGGCTGCGCGGTGCTCAACAAGCCTGGCGTGTACGGTCGCCTGAGCACCGCCCAAGCGTTCATCCAGCCCTACTTGCCCAAAACCTAGAACCTCCGCGTACCGTACTTGGTGGATGAACACGCCAACTAGATGGATATTGCGTGTAGTGTATGTAATACCGTGATCTGTTGGAAATTCATTATGTTCTGCGAAGGTGTGGGATGTGGTCGTTCATTGAAAGGGCACAGTAGCTTTCTTGACGATATGGTTGCACTTTCATCTTGACAGAAACAACACCAACTAGTATTAATATTGATAATCAACAAGGCACTTCTGTTGATAGTGCTACTGTGCGGTGGAGTGATGGGAATGGTGTCAGTAAAGGCAACCGCATTGGAGGCGTGTAATAGGTCGGTGAAATGCAGCTCACGGAGGAATGCGTTGGTCCTACTAATGCTCTTAGCTTGTTACGACAACACGTTCAGGAATCAAGGTTATGTACACTGTAATGTGTACAGATTTCATTTCGATTTCCTCCAAGCGATACAACCATCATTCACAAAGGACAACAACCTGCATTCTTCGTGGAGATCAAAAGTCAATCATCATGGCAGCAACCACCACGAACCTTCGCCTTGTAGTTGCGTCCAAGAACCCTGTCAAGATCGGAGCTACTCGAGATGGCTTTGAGAAGAGCTTTCCTGGGCACACGTTCTCCATATCTGGCGTCGACGTTCCTTCCGACGTGGCCGCGCAACCCATGACCAGTCGTGAGACGTTGGGCGGCGCTTTGAACCGACTGCACGCCGCTCGAGCACTAGTTCCAGACGCAGACTACTGGATCGGCATCGAAGGTGGCGTGGAGCAGACCAACTTTGGCGGTGACGCTCCCGCTGCAGACGTGATGGAGGTGTTTGCGTGGATTGTGATCGAAGCCGCCGACGGGACTCGGGGTATGGGTCGCACTGGGTCGTTCTTCCTTCCAGAGGCCGTGGTCAAGCTGGTTGTGGGGGGGCTGGAGCTAGGCCATGCGGACGACCAAGTGTTTGGAGGGTCCAACTCGAAGCAAAAGACGGGCTCGGTGGGGCTGCTCACCCAAGACCGCATCACGCGGCAGTCGTACTACGAGCATGCAGTGCTCCTGGCACTGATTCCGCTTCAAAACACCCGGTTTCGCTTTGTCTTGCCTGACGGAATGTAGTAGTAGTACTACTACTAGTACTTCTACTACGACAGTATTTCAAGAGCGTGGTTGACTTGAGCTATCCCAACCTTGGCTACATTTTTGCTCAAATGATAGCAGACAGAATCACAGTTAACGACGTAAGCACTGAGTTCTTTGGGAAAGCATTCGACGGTAGCTAGCCCTAGTATTGCTGCGGCCATGTGTGAGATAGGAGAGTGTCCATGTATGCCTTCAAGTGCAAAGTGTCGTTCAATTGCAAATTGCACTTAACAGTAATTTTGTGTTGTTTTTCACTTGTACAACTCGTTTACGGAGGTAAAAACCTATGCTAGTACAAGGTGGTGGATGCATTATTCGATGCAACGCCCAGAGATTGCAATTCCACTCATCCAACTTCACATCATGTCACTTTGGCTGGCCAAGCACCACCGAGCTGTTATGCACAATGTGTCCAATTCCACCAACATGACTAGCTTGGTCCCTGGCTTGAACGACACGACCATCGACTGGAACGAGACACATGCAACCAAAAATGCCAGTTTCCCTCGTTTTAACGACACCGTGAGACCACCCGAGGAGACCATTACGTTTCCTCCTTACACTCCCACTTCGTCCGCAGTCCCGCGACATAACATACCTTCTCTGGAAGCATCCTTTCCTCAGCAATCGTGGCCGAATGAGTCCGTCGCAGCTCTCGCCGCCGTCGCCGGAGTGGCCGCCACGCTTCTGGTTGTTTGGGCTCTGCAACTCCGACAAAAGAGAGCGAAGGTCATGACACGGGAGGGCTCGGACGATAGCATTTCGCCGCCCGACTATGTATGCGCCGGCAGTCCCATCGGCACGGCCGTCACCCTACCGGCGTCGTCGTCGAGCTACATGTAGATCGACGATACGGAATAGTTACCACGTCGATGGCGGAGCGATGCGACACTGTTCTTCCGAGGTCTATCGCGGGAGAGTCATGGAAGGATGGCAGAGATGGTGGTGGCAGCGCCTGCGGGCACTGTTTTGCACTTCGAAGTACTTATCACGTTGACGACATCATGGTTGTGTGCTATTTTCTCTTGCAACTAGTATTACTAGTCTGGTAATTATCCGAAAATTTCCGGATACGTCCTAGCCACATTGTTGAAGTAGAGCCAAATATGCATATATTTCAACCATTTACATATAATTATAGTAAGGCGATAAACAAGTACACCAGTAAGTACCAGAATAAATATGCAATTTAGTCGCTTAGCCAATCGCATGTGCATTTTTTGTGTGGCGTCATCAAGTTAACGTGAAGCGACGACCTCAATGGGGGAGAACAAAGGGAACAAGGCGGCGCAGCGGGAAAAGCTGCTGGCGTCCAAGCGAGCATGGGCGAAGGAGCACTACGAGCAGAACCGGGAGCGCATCCTGGCAGTGAACAAGAAGTGGGCGCTAAAGAACCGCGCCAAGATCCGCGAGTCCAAGCGGCGGTACCGCGAACGCAACCGCGCAAAACACAGGAATCAAATCCAGGCGTACTACCGCAATTGGAAACGGCGGAGAGACGAGCGTAGGGAGAATGGCGAGGCAAGCGCCGAAGACGATGACCCGGAACCCCCGCAGGACCTCGACGACGACGACGACTTGGAAGGCGAAGGCTGGGATCGAGACGTTGACTACAAAGACATAGTAAGCATGCTTGATAACGAGGACCTCGTTGCCGCGACGGACCCGACTGTTGAAGAATCCGAGCGATATACGCCGCGGCAGCGCTCCATGGTGCTCGTGCGGCAGCAAAAGTTCTGGCAGCGACTCGCGGACGTCCTTCCCATGACCACACACGATTTGGAGCACTGGTCTGTGGAGCTTCATGCTGGCATTCCTTCTTCCAGCCCTCCTGTCCATCGAGATTACTTTGACGGGCGGCCCCATGTCGTCACGGAAGATGCAGCGCAAGGAGACGTCGCGTCCGAAGACGAGGAAATGTATGCGCGCGCGCATGAAATGACGATCGTACGGCGGCGCAAGAAGATACCAAGCACAGACGAACAGCTGGAGCAGCTCAAGCAGGACCCCAGCATGGCCGCGGTGCTCGAAACCATCATCCTCATGCGGGCGGGCAGTGGCGTCTGGCCCGACGACCTCAGGTGACCACTAGCCATAAGTCTAGAGGCCTTGTGAAAATATCGATCCAGACAGTCTTATGGCGGCTTATAACTGTAAGCAAGGAACACGCGACAGAGTACACAAAGAATTCACATGCGAATTCTGCGACGAGAATAATGCTCCGATTACTATGCTCTTTCATCTCGACTAACAAGTTGCCAGGTGAGAAAGATAGGGTTTTCATGTCAGTCGCAATCATCCTTGGACAGAGGTGACGTTAGTACTACTAGTAGTACATACACTGTGAGGCTGCCAAGAAGACGCTCAGTAGTAGACTTGCCGACAGTATATACCGTCGAGGTGGGGTTTGGACCAGTCAAATTACGTACTACCATATATTGTCTGTCATTAAAACAGCAAAGAATGGGTCAATTCACGAATTCCCACTGGATTGGCAAGTTCAGGGCGTCCTGGGGTAGAAGAAGAATGGATTGTACACATGCAAAGTATATCCATCTTGTCGTCCCGTAGCGTGAGAAAGCACAGTCAGAGCCTTTGATCGCTCAAGACGGGCGGCTTGAACGTTCGTAGGCTCGAGGGGGGAACGATCGCGGCTGCGCGGGGACGATTGTGGTGGCTCTGAAGGGCGGTATATGGTACTACCTCTGTCCGTAAATTCTTGCAACAAGCGGAATATCTTGAAAATGAAGTGCATCAAAGTCGAATATTTTGAATCCAAGGATATGTACGGATAGAGGAGGAACTGATGAACACCAATGAAACACTTTCGCACCAGAATTCATCCAATCAAATCAACTCCATTGGATTGGGTCAAGTACACTTTATCCAGTATAAGATGTGCATCGTTTTTGAGATTTCCTTACAAACTTATCCGGATATCCGTTATCCGTATGATTTGGCTTAAAGTTGACACTTGATCGACGATGCGCGCCAAGAAGAAGGACCTCACCAAGAACGACCGGGAGGCAATTCTCCAGCAGCTCATGGCCCATTTGGTGGACAACAAGAAGTTGATCCGTGGTGCACTAAATAAGATTGCATTGGACTTTGGTGTACATCGTGGAACTGTGCAGCGAGTGTGGAAACGTGCCAACGTCGACCTCGACAACAAACTTCGACCATGTTCCGACGTGTCGTCCAGAAAAAAGGGCCACTCAGGTCGGAACCTCAAGCACGAGAACGTGGCGAATCGCCTGAAGGCTGTTCCTAAGGCCAGCCGCACCACGTTTCGGTCTATTGCTGCTGCACTTGGGATGCCGCGTTCAACCCTGCATGCATACTACCGCCGCGGCATCTTCGTCAAGTACAACAGCTCCGTGCGTCCATCTCTGACGGATGCCAACAAAGTCGTGCGGACGAGTTGGGCCATGGACCACATCCATGCACTGTCCCCGTCAGTGTACTTGTTTGACGACATGATGCAATGCGTCCACGTGGACGAAAAGTGGTTCTACGCCACCAGGGTCAAGCGATCCTACTACCTTGCACCTGGCGAAGAGCCACCCCATCGCACCTGCAAGTCCAAGAGATTCATTACCAAGGTGATGTTTTTGTCAGCTGTTGCTCGGCCACGCTGGGACGAGGATGCTGGGTCATGGTTTGATGGGAAGATCGGAACGTGGCATTTTACAGCTAAGGTCCAGGCCGCGAGATCAAGTCGCAACCGCCCAGCAGGAACTCTCCAAACGGTTCCTGTCAGCGTTACCCGTCCGGTGTACAAGGCGATGCTGCTGGAGAATGTTATCCCTGCCATCAAGGCGAAATGGCCAAAGGGGTGTGGACGAAGCATCACCATTCAACAGGACAACGCCCGCCCACATGTGCCACCCTGCGACACTGATATCGTGGCGGCGTGTCAAAGTGGTGGCTGGGACATGCAGCTCAAGTTCCAGCCACCAAACTCTCCAGACCTCAATGTTCTGGATCTGGGGTTCTTCCGTGCGATCCAGACCCTCCAAGAGAAGAACACCTCCCGCTGCATTGATGACATTGTTGCCGCCACGGAGCAAGCGTGGAGTGAAGTCTGCATGCAGACCCTCAACAACAACTTCCTGACCCTCCAAGCCTGCATGCGTGAAACGATATGCGCTCAAGGAAACAACAACTACAAGATTCCTCATTGCGGTAAGGCGAAACTATTGGCTCGTGGGCTTTTGCCCCAGGTCCTGGCAGTAGACAATGAGGTTGTGGAGTGTGGTTTCCAGCAGCTTGACGAGTCTGACGTCAATGCAAAGTTTGACCAACTGGCCGTGGAAGTGACCGAAGCTATGGAGATGTCTGAATTCAGCTCTCAGTTGGAAAAGCTGATTGTCAACGACGAGCTCAAGGAGGACGCGGGTGTTGAATTGGACGAGCTGTTGGATTTGTGTAGCCTGCTTTGAATATAATTGTATTCATTTTTGTATGCCAAAATCAAAATATAATTTACGATTAGTTTGTTGCAAGCTTTTCCGAATATCATTATTTCCGCTTGTTGCAAGAATTTACGGACAGAGGTAGTATTACACACGGTGGTCTAATCGTTCGTAGAGATGTTAAATGGGGGCAAAGCCAACGTTGATGCTGGAGGGAGGCTGACTACAGTTATCACGGCCGTGTATCAATGATGGTGAGAAAGGTGTCGAGCCATGATCCATATATAGATAGTAGTACACTTGACTGTGCTAGGTATTTTTGATGATGTAAGTAACGTTATATCATTGACATGTGCTCAACCAGCCACAAGGACAATGTTTCCGAGGCTAGCCATGTCAAGTTCACATATGTCGGACACACTGGGTTTCAAACATTGGATAACTGCACACGTTTTGGTCAGCGCGCAAGTACAGTACTAGTATCAAACTTGAACAAAAATGCTGTCTATTTTAAATGGGCACGCGACACTGTCCAATGGGTCGAACAGCAATTGGTAGTTAGGGCACAGAACCCAAAGTTTTGCCATTTGTCCATTTTAACAGCAATAAAGGTGAAGTCCACAGTTTAACAGCTTAGTCGTACGTTGAACCTCCAACCTACCACGGCGCAACGTACAATTGGTGTTAGGGTTTGATCCCACTTGTCGTGTCACCAATCTATTTCGAGAAAGCAACATTGGGGCGGGGTTACATATATCCCACGTCACTCCCCATATTTACGACCTGCCGTCGCCACCGACGACGTAACCTGAACTCATGTCCATTTCGCCTATCCATCTCCCCCGCATCGGCACGTTCACGTCCGCCGTCCCAACCAGTCGCGCTGTAGCGAAAGCATACCGGAAGTTTAGCCCCGCGGTGGGGGCGGCCATCGGGTGTGTGGTGCTCATGCTTGTGGGTTTCGATTCTGTGGTCAACAACTGGGTGATTAACGACTTTTGTGGCAACGGGCTGCAGTTCCGCACGCCCGTGGCGCTGGCTACGTCAGCCAACGACCTCCCAACGTCGTACTTGTTTGCGAAAGGGTGGAACATCTCGCAGCTGTCCAACATTGGCCACTGGATGACCGACTATGCGATTCAGAAGCTCTCGACCATTGACCCGAACGTGTTTATCATCTCGGGGGGGACGTACGTCGTGACGGGGGCAGACATGAACCTCTGCGGATCCTTCTCCGGCACGTACACGTTGAACGACCTCACCGAGCCGGTCAAGCTGGCCACTGCCACCGACGCCATCACGTACCTGCGAGGCAACTCGCTGACGCACTTTGCTACAGACGACTTGGCCGTGGGGTTACCCACGACTGATTCGTTGTCGGTGGAACTCGAGGCGCTCGGGTTCGTCGCTGCTCGCATCCAAGCAGATATCAAGATGACCATGGCGTTCCCCGTTCAAAACACATCGGTTCCTCAATCAGCAATCGTTCAGTTCTACCGTTTGTACACCAAGAGCTACTGCACGGGGTGCCCTCCACTGGCGGAGCTCGGGCGCGGCGAGTGCAACTTCACCATGAACTTTTCGCCGGCGTCGAATGTCCTCGTGGTCAACAGCACATTCGTGTTGAACTCCAAGCACGACGTGGGGCTCATGTTTGCCCGAGACATTTACAGCGCGGTCTCGTCGGCCCTAAAGTTCATCGCTCTTTTGCTGGCGTTGGGGGGGTACCTCGCCAGTCGCAAGACTGTGCAGTGGTCCGAAGTAAACGCGGAAAAGATGGAGACGATTTGGCACAAGTTGATTCAGATCGTGGCGCCGCAGTACTTTCCCCACCTCAGCCATGCAATCCGGTTCGACATTTTTTGCTACAATAGCGACTACTTTGTCTTGTTGTACGGGGTGAGCATCCTCCTCGACATGAACCACGCGATTGTGTTTACAAGGGAAGTAAACGTGTTCAACCGACATAGCCCCCGCCTCGGAATGACACTGCAGCTGTTTGCCCTCAGCACGCGGTTACTGTGGCTCAACATTGGTTTTCTCAAGCTGTGCAAACTCGGCATCAACTTGATTACACCGGCGTCGTTCTCGGGCCAAAGCCGCGTGATACCGTTCTTCAACTTTAGTTCCGTCACGACGTTGTACTTGACGACGATTTTGCTGTTTTTTGTCCCGAATTACATCGAGTACAACAATCAGAGTCGGTGGGATATTCACAACCACGTGGAGCTCCTGGACGGGCAATTTGTGGACTTTTTCGAGAGCTTTTACGTCCGGGTCGTGGGTGCCGTGTTTGTTGGGCTTATTGGCAACGTGTGGGGCGTCTTGGCATTGGATCACGTCGTGTTAGCAGGTATTTGGAGGGTGCTCAAGGCCAACAGCTTGACCCGGCAGGCGATTTACAATTCCACGTCGATTCTGTGCGAATACGTGGACGATGTCCAGATGATCCAGGAGGACGTCGTGATGACGTGTCGCGCCAGACGGTTGAGTACGTTACAGTGGTACTTTATGCACCACATGGTCTGCTTTGGCCTGCCCGAGAAGGACATGACCAAACGCAAGCAGAGCCTACCCACGAACACGGCGAGCGACCGGCCGGAAGGGCGCGAGATCAAGTACACGGTAGGCCAAGACTCAACCGGCCACTTCCACCTGTACGACGACGTGCTCGCGGACGTCAAGAGCCTGCCGTTCAACATCAAAATCCTGCGGAATACCCCCATCATGATCAAGTAATTTTGTACAATACTCCTGGAGTAACATTCAGGACAATCAATATATATATTAATGGCATGTATTAGCATAAGAATACATGTAATATAACTCCACTGAAACCCTTCGTAAGTAGTCTTTTTTCGTTTCGTACGTTCGAGAACGTGCTGTGCAAAGTTAGAAGTTATCGTGCGCGAGCTGAACGCTTGATTTCTACTCACGTCAACTCTAACGTAGCGAGCAACGCGCACTTATATACTAGTATAGGTCAGTACTAGGAATACTATTTTCTTCCAGAGTAATACTATTAAGAATACTATTAATAGTTAACAGCGACATATTCTAGGTAGATTCTTTTCAGAGTACATCCCCACGAATGTCCTTGGTGTTATCCCTGATATTTGGATTGGATTGGTTTTATGGTCTTAACGTTATGCTCAAGACCAACGACTATCGCAAACTCGGAAACGAGCCAATTGCCTTGTGGGGCGACTACTGCAGAGAGTTGCCGGTTAAAAATACGTGGTGATAAAAGGTACGATTGCGTTAGCCGTGGTGGACAAGTGTACCGAAGGAGAAGGAGGGGTTGAAATGAAGACATGGGTACTCCAGTACGTTATTGTTGATCACGGTAACCTCCGTACCTTATTGCAGCGTCAACTCACCGGCAGCGACAGGACACAGCTAAGTACGCATTACTTGGATACCAAAATCAGTTAATGCCGCCTACGCGCCCCACGTGAACGACATTGGTCCGGGGCTCCGAGCGCTGGGTGAGCAGCGACGGTGCAATGGTCCAGAATTTCTTGGGGATGGTCGGCTGCCTGGTGTCGTGGCCTCGTCGTCGACCTTTGGTGAGAACCAGCAGTAGCAGCCGTTGCCACCGCCCCGCTCGCTCACTTGGAAGCACCGACATCGAAGTATCCACGTGTCCGAAGAACAGCAACACGTGCTCTTCTTTGGAAAATGTCTGGCGTTGCTTAGCAATTCCGTGATAGTAGGCCGTGAGGACGGAGATTACCCCCCCGGTAGCGATCAACGCGTGGAACGAATCGTTTTGGCAGAATAGGGCGGAGACCAAGCCCATGGCAAACACGACCACGGACAGCATCGCCCCCACGGTTCCCACGGGACTGACTAACAACCGGGGGACGCGGTTGTGCCGTTTGCGCCACGAGATGAACGCGAGGCTTTGCGTAATGTAGCACCCAAACCCAAGGATCATCACGACGGTGTACACAACGTCAGCAGTACCGATATACTGCATAACAAAACACACGGCAACGTTCAAGACGGACACGACGAGGAGGGGGCGAGTGGTTTTGTGGGGGGGAGGCTGTGACGGACTAAACACTGACGAAATGAGGTTGGACTTGGCCAACGCGGTCAAGAGGTTGCTCGACGCCAGCGAAAAACCAGGAATAGACGCAACGATAGCTGGGAGCGAAAACAACGTCGCGGTGTCGTCCGTGGTGGCGAAACCGGCGCTAAAGCCCCCGTTCAGCACTGCGAAGACGTCCGGCAGGGCTGCTGCACCTGGCGGAAGGCTGATTGCAGACAGGTAAATGCAACAACAAGACGCTAACAGCGTGCATAGACTGGCGATTTGGCCCTTAGGAATGGACTTGCAAGGGTCCTCCACATACGTGGAGAGCGTTGCGAGGGCCTCAATGCCACTGAAGAACCAAATCGCGTTGGGGAAGGCTTGAAAGAACGCTGACAGTCCCCCTTGGGACGTCAAGTCGCTACCGCCCGTGTATTTGCCCATGTCGGCATTGGTCATGGCGCTAAGGCAGTAGAAAAACACGACCACCAACGACACGGTGGCGAGGCCAAAGATGGTGCGCCAGAAGAGGCGACCCCCTTGTAGCATGATGAGAAACACCAGCGATTGGATAACGATCCAGATCAGGGGTTCGAAGCCCTCGAGGGAGGGCCACCGCTGACTTAGGACCTGCGTGGTCCCGACAAGGCTGACCGACGAGTAGGTTACGTATTGCATCAGTTCACAACAGCCCACGACGAACGCCGTGCAAAACCCAAGCGTGCATCGCGCCAAACCAAACACGCCCCCTACAAACGGCAACGCACTGGCGATTTCAGCCACAGACAGAACCAGACACAGGAATGCGAGCGCGGTGAGGAGCACACCGTAACCGAAGCTGACTGTTCCGGCGACCAGGCCAACATTCCACGAGAAAAATTGTCCACAGATGACTGTGGCTATGCCCAGAGCCCAAATGTCCACGCTGGAGGCCACGTATACTGGTGCTTGCCTTGTAGATGGAGTCGCCGCAGGTGATGCGCCACCCACCATTTTGCAGTCGACGATGGGTCCGATCTATTTCGATCAAGCAGTTACAGCGTTTGTGACCACTGTGAAACAATCTATAACGACCGAGGAAACTCAATGCATCACCCACGACCTTATTTGCATGCTCGAGGTTATCCTACGCGTTGCAGCAACACAAATATAGGGGGGCCTGTGGTCACCAACGACACATTTTCCATTATCAAGAGTGCTACCGTAGTAGTACACTTCCATGGGGAAATAACACCATGAAACGCTTGACGTTTCAACCATTGAGAATGGCCCCAAGCCAACAGCTGTGGCTGGAGTTATATTTGCTTACTTGGCAACTTCGCTCCCACTACCAAGAGCTCCAAACGTTCACCAGCTAGAGTGGTATGCCGCCCCACGTTCTCGTCAAGGAGCAGTCGTCCACGTTCCGTTTCGTGTTCCGCCTTGTGCCGCCTTCAGTGAAGCGTAAAACGTTCCAGACTTATACGCTGATCGTCCCGTGGATTAGCCACATCATCGGCTTCCTGGTGCTTGTCCTCGTCTTCGTGGACGCGATAGCCAACAACTGGGCAGTCAACGACTACTGCGGCAACGCGCTGCAGTTCCGTACGCCCTTTGCGCACATCGAAACCGCTTCAGAGCTACCGAACGACTTCATCTTTGGTCAAGGCAGGGGGTTCTCCAACATGTCATTTGTGGGTCGGTGGATGATGTCGTTGGCCGTCTCCGATGTGGCCTCCCATAGCGACAGCATGTACATCCTCACGGCCGGGCAGTACTCAATCCAGGCAGCGACCATGAACTACTGCGGTACCTTGAATGGAAACTATTCCGTGCCGGACCTGTCGATGCCGGTCAAGTTGGCGGTTGTGGACGACGGCGTGACGTACCTACGTGGCGACGCATTGTCGCACTGGTTCACTAACGACCTGGTCGACAACTTGCCGACGAAATCATCCAAAAAGGCAGACGTGCAAGCTCTGGGGTTTCACCCCGCTCGGATGCAGGCGGATTTACGGCTAACTATGGGCCTGGACATCAAGAACACGTCAAAAACGCAAACTTTCGCCGTCTCGTTTTATCGCGTGTACAGCAAAAGCTACTGCACCGGGTGTGTGCCCCTGGCTACCCTTGGTCACGGCACGTGCAACCTGACGGTGCAATACATTCAGCGCACCAATATGGTGGTTGTGACCAAGAGCTTCTCCATGCCCGACTCGACGCACTACCTCGGTCTGATGTTCAGTCGTAGCATCTACACCATCATCGGGTCTGTCCTCAAGTACGTGGCCATCTTGATTGGCATGGCGGGTTTCCTCGCCAGTCGAAAGACTGTCCAGTGGCACGACCGCAGCCCAGACAAAGTTGAATCCGTGACCGAGAAGCTCATGGACATGGTCGTGCCCAAGTACTTTTCGCACCAGAGCTTCGCCATGACGTTTGACTTGTTTTGCTATAACAGCGACCTGCTTGTGTTGCTCTTTGTCGTGAGCAACTTGCTGGACATGAACCAGGCGATTCAGTACATCCGAGAAGTGAACGCGTACAACGCATTGAGTCCGCAGTGGGATATGACGGTCAAGTTGTTTGCACTGAGCACGCGCCTCTTGTGGCTCAACGTTGGGTTGGTCAAACTGGCCAAAATGACCGTGCACTTCGTCTCGTCGGCTACGTACTCTGGGCACAGTCGCGTGATGAGTTGGCTCAACTTTAGCAGCGTCACGACGCTGTATTTGAGTGCGATTTTGCTCTATTTCGTGCCCGACTACATTGAGTACAACAACATCTGTCGATGGGATATTGCCAACAGTTTGGAAAGTATCAACGGAAGCGTGATTGACAGTTTCAAGAGCTTCTACTTTCGCGGCGCACCGGCCATTGGTATTGGCCTCGCCCTCAACGTCGCAGGGGTGTTAGCAGTCGACCACTTGGTTTTGTTCGAGTTCTGGCGTAACTTGAGCAAGAACAGCCTCGGGCGCCAAGTTATGTTCAACACCACGTGCATCACGTGTGAGTTCGTGGGAGCTTTCACGGTCGAAAATTATGGTAGAGCTGTGCTCGAGTGTAAAGCGCGGCGCCTGAGCACCCTGCAGTGGTATTTCATGAGCCAGACGATGTGCTTTGGCTTACCGGAGAAAGAACTGAGCAAACAGAAGCAAAGTGGCAACCCGACGTTGGATATCGTGACCACAATCAAGCCGAACTATTCAAATGAACAAGGCAACGGAGATATCTTCCACGTGATCAACCAGAGTGGCAACGGACACATCCACCTACTCGACGACCAACTTGTGGATGTCCAGACCGTCGCGTTCAACATCAAAATCCTTCACGATACCGCACTGTACATTCGATAGATAACCCAGCACATTGTTTCACAGTGTCCTTTGTCTTCTTGAATAACGTTATGAACATATAGAGGCGGCGGGAAGTCGTCAAAGTAGAGGTGAAGTGGGAAATACTCCAATCAATGTGCACACTCATTTAGTGTTCGCGCTGTACCTCCTAAACGTGTCAAATTTAGTGCCGATGGGTTTTGTTTACATGTCAAATTCAAAGTCTTTAAATTCATTTGTAAGCAGATCATCTAATTGAGGATGGATGAATCAGGGATTCCGATAACATCACTATCATGAAGTGGCACCTTATGCTGAACGAGATAATGCTCAAATGAACGGAGCTCAAATGCGGCTGATCAATGAGAGGTCACGTTAACGGCAAAGCCAATCGCGGTACTATTTTCTAACAAATGTACAGTGCGGTATTGCGCAAGATTTTGATGTTGAACGCGAGGCTCTTGACATCCACGAGTTGGTCGTCGAGGAGGTGGACGTGGCCGCTGTCGCTCTGGTTGATCACGTGGAAGATATCTCCTTTGCCTTGTTCCCTGAGATGAATGGACGACTCATCTCCCTTGGTGGTCACGATATCCAACGTCGGGTTGCCACTTTGCTTCTGTTTGCTCAGTTCTTTCTCCGGTAAGCCAAAGCACATCGTCTGGCTCATGAAATACCACTGCAGGGTGCTCAGGCGCCGCGCTTTACACTCGAGCACAGCTCTACCATAATTTTCGACCGTGAAAGCTCCCACGAACTCACACGTGATGCACGTGGTGTTGAAAATGACTTGGCGCCCGAAGGCTGTTTTTGGCCAAATTGCGCCAGAACTTGATCAAAACCAAGTGGTCGACTGCTAACACCCCTGCGACGTTGAGGGCGAGGCCAATACCAATGGCCGGTGCGCCGCGAAAGTAGAAGCTCTTGAAACTGTCAATCACGCTTCCGTTGATACTTTCCAAACTGTTGGCAATATCCCATCGACAGATGTTGTTGTACTCAATGTAGTCGGGCACGAAATAGAGCAAAATCGCACTCAAATACAGCGTCGTGACGCTGCTAAAGTTGAGCCAACTCATCACGCGACTGTGCCCAGAGTACGTAGCCGACGAGACGAAGTGCACGGTCATTTTGGCCAGTTTGACCAACCCAACGTTGAGCCACAAGAGGCGCGTGCTCAGTGCAAACAACTTGACCGTCATATCCCACTGCGGACTCAATGCGTTGTACGCGTTCACTTCTCGGATGTATTGAATCGCCTGGTTCATGTCCAGCAAGTTGCTCACGACAAAGAGCAACACAAGCAGGTCGCTGTTATAGCAAAACAAGTCAAACGTCATGGCGAAGCTCTGGTGCGAAAAGTACTTGGGCACGACCATGTCCATGAGCTTCTCGGTCACGGATTCAACTTTGTCTGGGCTGCGGTCGTGCCACTGGACAGTCTTTCGACTGGCGAGGAAACCCGCCATGCCAATCAAGATGGTCACGTACTTGAGCACTGCGCCGATGGTGCTGTAGATGCTACGTCGGAACATCAGGCCGAGGTAGTGCGTCGAGCTAGGCACGGAAATGCTCTTGGTTACGACCACCATGTTGAAACCTTGTACGACTGCACTGTCAGGTTGCACGTGCCATGCCCAAGGGTAGCCAGGGGTACACACCTGGTGCAGTAGCTTTTGCTGTACACGCGATAAAACGGCACGGCAAAGTTCTGCGTTTTGGTCGTGTTCTGGATGGGCAGGCCCGTGGTCATGCACAAATCCGCCTGCATCCGAGCAGGGTTATACCCCAACTTTTACATGTCTGCCATTTTGGACTTTTTCGTCGGCAAGTTGTCGACCAAGTCGTTGGAGTACCAGTGCGACAATGCGTCGCCTCGGAGGTACGTCACGCCGTCATCCACGACTGCACGGAGTTGCTGCCGTTCAAGCCGCCGCAGTACTTCATGGTCGCCGCCTGGATCGGGTAGGCCCCGGCGGTGAGAATGTACACGTTGTCGCTGACGGTGGCCAGCTCCGCGACGGACAGCGACATCATCCACCGACCCACGTTGGACATGTTGGAGAACCCCCTGCCTTGACCAACGATGAAGTCGCGCTCGAGGTCTTCGGCAGATTGCATGTGCGCGACGGGCGTTCAGAACTGCAGCGCGTTGCCGCAAAAGTCGTTGATGGCCCAGTTGTTGGCCAGAGCATCCACAAAGACCAAGAGCAGGACCAGGGCGCCGATGTCGCGGCCGATCCAAGGGGTGGCGAGCGTGTACAACTGGGACGACTTTTGCTGAATTGAATGGGGTACCAAGTGCGAAAGGAGGCGGTACGTGGGCTTCCGCTCCTTGACGAGAACGGTGGGCGTCATGGCAAAGTTGTGTGTGAGCCTTTAAATTCTGACGTGGGTGCTATTTTGGGAAATCAACGTTGTACCCCAAACACGTAACCTCCAACCATGTTCACAAACACAATACGCTAGAACATCCCAGCACAATGTGTCGCTAACATGTCGGCCATACTAGTAGAGTATACCGGAAGGGCACTACTTTATAGTAGTAGTAATAGTTAATGGATGGAATTGGGGGTGACTTTCGATACAAAACCTTGTGAAATTATGCAACGCGTAAATATATATCGAATTTACATCAGTTTGGCTAAACATTTCGCTGGTTACAGTCTGTTTATAGTCTTTGAAACCGCTGTGCATAGTCGTTACGTTTAGTGAATTCAGTTGCCTATAATTCGGGAAACAAAACATACAAGGAACAACATGCAGGTTATTTACATTATTGGTTTGGTGGATTTATGTCGATTGTTTCTGATACATATAGGTGCATGTTAGCAGTTATTGACACACAATTACCTGTAACGGTTCATAAACGGTGCCAAGATCATGGACATTTGAAAATCGTTCAATAAACAGAAAGGCCAAGTTATCCGGAAGTCACACCTCCCTGGCATAGTTACAGACGAATGGTCGTTGAAGAGTCGAAACAGGAACTCACAATCGAAGCCATCAACAATGACCGCATTGACGTTCACCAGGTCCAATGTGGCGATGAGTAATGGCTCGACCCACGAAGTCTGTCATTATTAGCACTGCAAATACAACAGTAAGAGGTTGTGCAATGTAGTGTCGAATAGACAGACATAAGCTAGCTCCCACAAATAATAAATATTACAAGGACCAAACTGCAATATCATACTTCGAAGTATACCATACTATTAATAGTATTAGATTGGAAGGAGGGTCCTAATCACAATTGGGGGTTCGTCGACTTGAACTTTGGTCGTTCACGCCACTGACATACATTGCCAACATCTTGTCGTCCTTATAACGTAATGCAGTGTTGTTGACGATCGATTCTGAGATTCAAACCAAGTTGGTCTGCATAAATGTATGGGGATTTTCCCCTACATCTCACAAGCGTTCACGTACAAAGGTAGTTAGCCCAACTACACCAAAACACCCCATTGTTTACTATATATCAAAGCTTGTTTCCGGGTTTCCTTGCTATATTATGTATACAAAGATACATGCATACTAATATAATTTTCTTGCCCAGGGCAACCACCACGCGCCGCCCTCTCATGTACGTGCAAGCTGTCGCCACATATATGATGATGATGTCGGTTGTAACTAGGGCAAATTGGCTGTATAGTTGCAGTGTACAACAACCGGTCCATGTCCAATTTTATCCAATCCACGCCTTGGATTTACTATTCCAGCGATTTCATTGGTCCATCGTATCTACGAGTCTCAAACAACGACGGGAAACATGTTGAAATTTGTATGGGCCACACAAGTAGCTTAGGTCGTTGCGCTGGCTGGCAGTGGCAATAATGTTGCGGCTACTTCATTACATCGAGAATGTGTTCAACTTGGCAGCATCAATTGCAGTCGGAATCGTCATTTCCGCATTCGAGTCGGCATGTCAAGGACGGAAGCAGAACGACTCGCGCGCCGCAAGCGGTACCTGGCCAACCGCCTCGAAGTGCTCGCGCAGCAGAAGGAGTATCGCCAGAACAACAAGGGCCGGATCGCAGTGCGCGCGAAGAGATGGTATGTCCAGAACAAGGAGCGTATGGCCGAGTACAAGAAGGAGTACCAGCAGCAGAACAAGGACCGCATAGCTGCTCGCAAGAAGGCGTACACGGAGCGAAACAAGGAGCGCATCGCCGCCGCCAAGAGCGCCTACTACCACGCGACAAAGACCAAGGCGAAGTTGGTGTCATCGTCGACACCACCATCGTCCAAGAAGGCCGCGCCGACACCCACGACGCCGCCACCGCCGACCACGCGACGGATCAAGCTGGATGCAAGCGTCGCCACCGGCGTTGCGCTGCTCACATGCATTCGGGACATCTTCGCGCACAAGGAAGCGCGGCCGTAGCTGCAATGCGTTGGGGTTGTGTTCGATTGCAGTTGCTAATTATGTTATTATGTATTGTATGTTGAAGGGTTTATTAGATGTTGGAGGTTTCGGCAGCAATTTCGAGTCGTTTCTTAGCAATGTGTGCAGCAACGCGGGTCGCGTTTTGAGTGGCTAGTACGGATAAGTATCCGGATATGCGATGGCGGGACCGACAAAAGTTTGAATGCGAACATGGCCACGGAGAACAACGGCGGCAACGTGACTTCGATGGAGGTCGTCGTGAAAGCGGAGGAAGCCGTGACGAAGACAGAGGAGGAGAACGAGGAACATGAAGAGCAGTCCCGTAGTCGACCGAAGAAGAAGAAGAAGTCGGGACGACACAAGCGAAAAACGTCTGACCGCCGCGAGTACGTGATGGAGTCGAAGAAGGAAAAGGAAGCCGAAGCACGGGAATGGCGCAAAGCGTTGGAGAGCCGTGAATTCGACGAACTGCAGGAGTATCGATACATGGCAGTGATCAAGGAGCAGCTCCTCCAGGAAGACAACCCCGACGCCGCTGCCATCAAGCCGGCCAAGCGACCTTCCAAGAAGTCGAAAAAGGCATCCAAGAAGCGAGCTCGCGTTGAAAGCGCCAACGGCGACTGGGAATGCGGTCCTGGCGGCATGGAAGACGGCGACGACGACGACGTGGTGCTCCTAAAGGTAGTTGCCCAACCCACAAAGAAGCAATCGTCATCCACAGAGCCCATATGCCTCGACGAAGATGCCATTCCCAGAAGACACGCTAAGCCCAAGCCGGCAACCCCAGCGATGATGACAAGTGTCCAGAAAGAAGCAGGGTTGCAGCGCCCGACCCAGTTCCGCCTCTCGGTCGTTAAGGCATCGTACCATCACGAGTACAAAATCCCGTTCGAACTGACCGAAGAAGAGTACCAACTGCTGTTGACAGATGCGCCGCGTGGGAAATGTCCCAAGTATGCCGACGTGCTCGAGGGGAAATTTCCCACGGCACCATCCGCCCACTGGTGCGCCAAGTGCCATTCCATGATGTTCTTGTACCATTGCCAGCAAGCCATCCTGTCCAATAACTAGTACCGTTAGTGTACTAGTTTAGTATATACATATATATATATAGATAATATATCGACAATAAAGTCCATCGGTGCTAACACTCGCCAAGGATTACAAAGTCAAAGTGTATGACGTGGCACCTTCCTGGAACGAGTTGGGGCTTCTTGCTGCAATAGAACCCTCAATTCAAGCACTAGCTAGCTAGCTACCTGGTCCCACTTGTTGCAAAGTGGTGTTATCCACAGGGATATACTGTATATATACTATGATGGAACTAGCTTGCAAGTCACATTGCACAGGCCACTCATCATGAAACTACTAGTACACTGCAACGATGAGTTGTCACAAATCCACTCGAGAAATACAAGATAGATGGCTTTGAATCATCTATGGGCTCGTTCCCATCCATCCGTCGCACGGACGCTTCTTCTTGGCATGCCGCTCCTTCGTCGTACTTGGTCCTTCATTCATGTCCATTTGCTTCAGCCGGCGGCGTTGGTTGCATGCTGACTTCAACCACTACAAAGTAAGTATCCGGATAACGTGTAGTTCTTCGAAGTATAAAAGTTGTTTTAAATGATTTATAAGATTCAGACTAACGTTACTACTATTACTGTAAAAATAACAATAATGTGTTAAATCTGGCATACATACTCTTTATGGCATGGTAGGACATGGTAGGACAGTTATCCGGAATCCGGTTAAAATTTGTTATACGGATTTAACCGGTTGATGTTGTCCCGATCGTGCAGCCCCCCCCACACATAAGGGCTGCTGACAAAAGTTTTAGGCGCCCCAAAGGCTCTTACGCTGGTCTATCATTCAACGGCATCGCACGTGTAGGGCTTTGCGCCACAAAAACCTGCGGTCGGTTTTGGAGGTCTGCCTTTAATGTGACGCATTCGACATTGAGGCAATGTGTGTTGGGTGTGGAGTATCTTAGCAAGAGACAGGTAGTATTCTTGCAAGCGCACTCCATTCCCATTGGTCAAGGATCTGTCAACACGACCGAAGAGAGCTCGATAGGGGATGCAAATGTGCGTTGTGAATCAGTAGATCTAAGACCTTTAACATAGTCAGTCTTCTTT